GGCGCTGTGTTTGCTGATATTCGGTTCACTATTCAATTAGCAGAGTATAGTCACTTATCCTTTGTAATGTATACCATTTAATAAATGATAATTCAAATAAAGATGTTTATTCCTAACTGTTGTGAGAGAAACTATAAAAGGCTCTTTATTTATAGAGAAATAAGTTGAACAGTTTGTATTTGTAATCGGGTGACAAGAAAGGTTTTATTTCCTCACAATCATACGACGTGCCACAAAAGCAACTTAGTTTAGAACAACGCATTTCGCCATAACAATGCATTAGCTAATTCACTATTGTTTTGAACATATACATATATTCGACTTCATAGTACAGTTTCGGACAATGATACAAAGGAGATATTTCAAGTGAATGTGTGGTTGAATGTTTTAAGATATACAGGGTGACTTAAAAACAGTGGCAATATTTCTAGGTCTGAAAGTCCATCTAGGCGCACGGTGTTAAAGTTATGATTTTGAAATAAATATATATATATATATATACATATATAACTTGAGACGTGGTCATTGTCGTCTAGACCAGTTAGGTGAAAAATTAAAGCTTCCGCCTTTTGTTGGGTACTTCGACAAAATTTAAGCAAAGAGGACTCTTTATACTTTTTTTAATTCTCTCTAGCTTTCAATGGACTTTGCCATCATCATCAGGAGCTGCAATTACAATGATAACAGTAGCAACAAAGGTGTAAAATGAATTTAAATTGACTCATCTTACATTAGTATGTGAGGATGTTGCTAATTGTTGTTTACGTATAGGATGAGGGAAACGTCCAGTAACATGGTGAGAGCTGGATAGATTGTACAGTAGTCAAACTTATATAAAATATGACAAGAACAAGTTAAAAACAGATTAAAAATTATTTAAAAAATTAGAGCATTACATCGTGAAGCCACTTGATGATTGCACAAATTAGTGGTCATGGAATGATGAGTGACATGAAACCCTTTGACAGAAGGCCGAAGGATGTCAATGTCAGTATTGAAAGATGGAACGAATTGTGGGCGTGTGCCAAAACGTTGGTCGGTTTAACAAATTCTAACATAAAATTCTGAAAATCTCATCATCTGAAGTAATTTGGCAACGTTTTGGCACACGCCCACAATTCGTTCCATCTTTCAATACTGACATTGACATCCTTCGGCCTTCTGTCAAAGGGTTTCATGTCACTCATCATTCCATGACCACTAATTTGTGCAATCATCAAGTGGCTTCACGATGTAATGCTCTAATTTTTTAAATAATTTTTAATCTGTTTTTAACTTGTTCTTGTCATATTTTATATAAGTTTGACTACTGTACAATCTATCCAGCTCTCACCATGTTACTGGACGTTTCCCTCATCCTATACGTAAACAACAATTAGCAACATCCTCACATACTACTGTAAGTTGAGTCAATTTAAATTCATTTTACACCTTTGTTGCTACTGTTATCATTGTAATTGCAGCTCCTGATGATGATGGCAAAGTCCATTGAAAGCTAGAGAGAATTAAAAAAAGTATAAAGAGTCCTCTTTGCTTAAATTTTGTCGAAGTACCCAACAAAAGGCGGAAGCTTTAATTTTTCACCTATAACATATATATATATATATATATATATATATATATACGTATGTGCGCAGCGTGGATTAGATTATTGACTTGAAATTAGTTATATATAATAATAACGCTTTGACCGGACTGAAAAAAAAAAATCGCGGCTCAGGCTTCACCAGTGGCGTATACATTGAAAAGTTTCTACCCCGCAGAAGAAATAGGAAAATAATTTTCGTGGAAGATTTTTTCAAGCATGCATCCAATTCTACATGAATTACCTCTCGAAATTTCCACCAACGGCTTCTTAATATTCTGCAAAGTTGACTCCCTCAGAGCAGATGGTGCATCCAATGAATGGCCATTTTTTTTGTTCTTACCCTGGCCGGAACATTTCGAGAAGGAAAGAATTACTCTACGGCACTTTTTAGTACAGCTAAGGTGCACACTATTTTACTTCGTCTGCGTCAAAAAGGTCTTAACTGCTAGGAGTGAGTGCATCATCAGCTATGATCTGATACAGGTGAGTACGCCGAGTAGGTAGGTGACATTATATTTCCGGTTATTTCCAGTGAAAACACCAAGTTTATTGAGCTTTCTTGCACTGTCGGTAAGATTTTCTTAGGTGACTGCACTAGCACGAGCAGCTCATTCATCACCGTTTTAAACGCACAATGGATTGTTTCGAATTTAGTCATCTGTTCGTAATATTAGCGATATAAACGGCTTCTATGCAAATGAGTAGAAGGAAGGACGGAAGTCGGGCGTTTTGGAATGAGTGTTGCAATAGGTTAAAGTGTGCCATTACGGTGCAGCATGTTTACGTTATTATTATAGCACAAACACCCACATTTTCTGATTGTGACATCGGCATAGTAAGATAGGACTTAAAGGCTTAAATTCTTGTGAGCTTTGAAACAACTCCATTAGAAACACAACTCGTAGTCATATATAAAAAGTCACAAAAGTGAATCGATTAATGTTTTTGAAAATGTCAAAAATACATCCTCCTACTAGATTCACATGCAATATTGGACAAGGAAGTGTCCTCAACAGCACCTTAGGTTAATACTGATACAAGTGATGGGAAAGTTGATTATATCCGGATTACTTATCTTTCCTCTATTTTTCACCTAATATCCGATAAGAGAATGCGACACTCATATTTTGCATACTTAACCTCTCTCAGCGCCTGTGGCACAGAATTTATTGTCGGAAACGCTCCGTTTTTATCCATAATTCTCGGAATTTCCGGTGAGCGGACATAGTTTTTTAAGGCAGATATGGAAAATTACAGTATCAAGCAGGTTTAATATTTTCCCCAGGAAAACAGCTGAGACCTAATTTTTTAAGTCTGTTATAATAAAATATAGGATATAGGGAAACGTTTATCTATTATATAGTAAAATCATCGTTCAACAAACGATTTGTTATTTTAAAATTGCAAATACGATATATTAAAACGCAAATATTAGATTCACCATAAGCATATTTGTTGAAAATTCTAGTACTTCAAAATGTAAGATCTCTCGATGTATGAGTAAGAGTGGGTCGTATTTGATTCAAAAATGGAAGTAATTGATTGCTAAAGGTCATATGGAGTAACAAAAAATGAAAATTTCCAAATAGCTAGGCCTTATTTTAGTGCCTAATATGAAAATACAACAGGCTAGGTGTCGTCGATTCTATAAAATATAGTAATAATATTCCGCTCGCCACTGGTCGATTCTGGTAATAGGTAGCACTTGTGTGATCATATTCGCTCTGCTTGCGTTCGTTATCCCATGAGACCAAGCCTTGACTATGCTGATGACTGCGAGAAAGCATGAAACAGATGTACACGGCTGTCCATCGGTGGTAGGATGGACGAAAACAGTACTACCAGTTTTTAATATGAAAATGTGTAGTTTTTTCAACTTTCAAATCGTGTTGACAGCCCTGCATTTTCTACCTAAATATCCTCTAAGGAAACGATTACAGATTGACACAAAAACAGGAAAAAATAATCAAGATACTAACACAAAATTTGTGATGTCTCAAGACCTGTTAAAATTAGATGATATACATGGAATGTGCTTGAAACTGCACGTCGAATCAACCACTGAATATAATACAGGGTTTTCCCATTTAAAATATGCAAGTCGGTATGTGTATCTGGTATGAGAGGAAACTCTACAAGTTTTAAAGTCAAATTCGTCTCACAAATTTTACTGTAACCCCAAATTTTCGTAGTAGTCTGACAGACAGACACCTACTTTTTAAGTAGACGATCGCTGCATTTCTTGGGGGTACGCCCTGTGTGTATAGAAGACCTCAATTTTTTGTGTAATGTATTCGGAATTCCCTTGTTTATTGACCGCTGTTGAACGTTTTTTAAATCGGCGGCACAACTGTTTGTTTACAATCTAAAAATAAATTGATATTCGCTACCGGATAAATTTGCAACAAACACCGGATATTGGGTTATATAATGATGAAAGGATACGATGGAAAACGTGTTGCGAAATCATGACTGAGCGCATGGACAAGGAAATTGCTGGATTGAATCCGATTGTCTCCTTGTTTGCGTTATTTGATCTGACAGTTAATTATGCATTTGTAATTTTTGTTTACATAACTGAAAATAAAAAAAAACATCCATTCTAAAATTTGACGGACCATGTAATTACGTGGTTTCACAGTCCAAGGATGGATTAATTAGCGCTTTTGATACTAAGAATATTAAGTATCCACAGCTGTCATATCGTTTATCAATTACTTAAATGTTTTGTTAACTACGAGTACAAACATTTATAATTATGTATAAGTCAACCATCCGTTTGAAGCTGTGGATAATCACATGTTCTTCTTACAAAACTATATTTTAGTATCGAAAGTATTTTTCCTTGAATTATCCAATATTTTTGTGTGTATATGAGCCTGAATATTATGAGCCTTTAAGTCGCTCACTACTGAAGTAGTGAACTAACTGTATAACTATAGTTATGAATCAACGATTTTTGATAATCAGGTCAACTTTAGGAGCCTAGTCTATGCATACTGTGTAGTATAGCAGGAAGTAGCTGGCTCAAAAAATATTATTTAAACATTTTCAGCCGGATCTTGATAATATTTTGAAGTTCTTAAAACAATACATTAAGATGGTCGTGTGACAGTTATCACCTCCTAACGTAAGATACTTAAGGCGGAAATTTTAATCAACTACAACGATTACGAATATCCTACAAAACTATCAAACTTTTGCGCAAACCTTCCATCCACCTTTGATTATTTACGGTGGATTTCCTGTGTCAGTTAAGGTACAAAATTATAAAACAATAAACACTGCTTTTCGAAGACATCCCCCTATACATATGTCACTTAAGGTTTGGAAGGGCCAAGTTAGCAAGTTGACCTTCGGGTTAATGAAATTGATGCATGGATACTATATTTTAGCATAATAGAGGCAGTTAAACATTTCAAGATGACGGATATATTGTTAAATATCAGACTTATATAAATCTGTTTTTACACAATCACTTATCATTAAGTAAATTGGCTTGTAACATCTGTTGCAATTTCTCTATCTTCTCTTCCAGCTTTCTATAGTGTGTCTTTGTTGTCTTCTTCTTCGTATTCCTAGTCGTCGAAGCTTTCGAACTACAGCTTGATCTTGACTCTACGCTGCTGCACCGGCACTTACTGATGGTGGTTTTTGTTTTGCTTCTCCTCATGCTAGGAGACGGGCTTACCGACTGCGTACTGATTTCAGGGTTGTAGCCTAACTTCGCGTCTGCAAACTTTGTGCTAGAGGTAGAACTATCTCCACTTATAGTGTGTTTGGTGTAGCTTCTTGACAGTCGTGGTTCTGCCCAATCTTGTCTGGATCTTCTAGGATTGGTTCTGCGTATTACTGAGTGTTTGCTATGTTCTTTGAGGTCTGAAACTGGCGACTGGCTGCTTCTTCTGTACATCATTCTGAAACTTTTGCTGGACGACTTTTGAACAGGACTTATCTTGTGGTCACCCAATCCGTGTCTTGGCGAAATACTAAATTGATTCAGCTTAGCCTTTAAACATCTTTCCGAACACTTTACTTTTTCTAGCTCCTTCGCTAAAGATTCTTTATCGCTTCTCAGTTTTTCTACTAGTTCGTGATGTGAATTTCTTTCATTTACGACACACTTTTCCAAATGATTTACAGCCTTTTGTAAAGACAATACTTGCGTCCTTGGTTTCTTGCCGAATGTTTCAGATAATTGTCTTACCTCTTCTCGGAGTTGAAGGTTTTCTTCTGTTAATTCATCCACACGCTTTTGCAAGTAGTAGATTTTTTTAGCCTCGCTATGGTTTGCTTTTAAAGCTAGCTCTTCTTTGGACTTTGCAAGTTCAGCTTCGAGCCTCCTGATTGTTGCTTGTAGAATTAATGGATCTGGTGGCCCGCAGTACTCTAAGGGCAATGGATACCTTATTTTATCAAATTCGACAACGTATGTAACAATTAGATATCTTCTGTTGTTAGTATTAGCACCCACGTTTTTAGTAATTTTTCTTGACCTTAGAAGCTCCAGATCATCAAACGTCAGAAGGTCTAACGTTACACTTTCACTAGTTCTAAGTAGTCCAGACTTTATCATGGCAATAAATACATCAAACTGTTTGAAATTTCCAGTTTTTTGAGTCAAGTTCTCTATATATGCAGCGTCGTAAGAGCATTGCCATTCTTCTCCAGATGATTTATCAGTGATCAAGATTTCCAAATTATTGCATACAATATTCATCTTGAACAGATATTCTTGCGCGTGAAAGTTACAGGTGGTCACCAGATTTGAGTCAGCCATATGATTTCTGTTTCAACCTGTAGAGGATCCAGATGATAAAACTCTCATTTTGACTTTAACAAAATGTTTACTATATTTTAGCATAATAGTGGCAATTAAAAATTTCAAGACGACAGCTGGGTGTCATTTTGAACATTTTTTAATGGAATGGGGGTCGTGTGATACCTCATTTTGAAGCGCTGTATGAATACTTTATTTTTTAATCCTAGAATATAAAATCACTATGCTCGAAAATGGTGAACTAGGGTCTATTCAAATACGAAGTAGAATATGGAACATTCTATTGAAAAAAATGCCAAAATCTTTCAATTTCGTCAATCTGAATGTCCTAAATTTTATTGCGCATTGCAGATAGACCCAGACGTTTTGATGATTAGTTGCTGATTTATAAGCAATTCAGTATTACAAAGACTATAAAGTTTAACAGCCACGTTGATTGTATATTCCAGGGTTATAAAGTACTCATAAGAAGCTTCCATTTGAAAAATTGTTCTAAAATGGCGCCCAGACACGATCTTGAAATTTTCAACTGCCACTTTAACGCTACATTTTTTCAAAAATGATCAGGATCCTCTGAACGTAGAGCGATTTTTATTTTTTTGTTCGGGTTTTCCGATTTTCAAAAAACTGCAAAAAACCTCGTCAAAATCCGAGCCTACTTCTGAAGTTATAGGTGGTTCAAGGATTAGCTGACCGACAGCCTGACACACAGACGCATACAGACGGAAATAAACGCTTTTTCCTGATATACATGTCATATAACAATAAAAAAAACATATCTCATTTTAGGAAAATTGCGCGATTGCAATACTTCCCCGCCAGGAACGATACAGGAGACGAAAGTATTATGTTGGTGGATAACTTTGAAGAACAAAATGGTACAACTCATTTTAAAAGTATTCGCAGCCTCCGATCGTATTAGAATCGCTGTTATTAAAATTAAAGGGGGTAAAACTTGAACTAATTAACAGGTGTGATCTCTACTAATAAACTTCCGATTTAGGTTTGGTATGCATTACATGACGTAAGGATTCGATGAAGGCACAAGAGTTGCTTCAAGGGTTGATTGATGTTTTATTAATTTGATAATTACGATGCTTTGAATATAAATATTTTGGGGCAGGCGCGAAGTGCTCGTTTTCCCTATTTCAGATGTTTACCAAGTTGAAGCTTGAGCAGAGAGCAAAAACGGCAATTTGCAAGTATGATGAGCGTAAGCCTACGATTCTAATTAGGATGTAGAAAGTGTATAATTTTGTTAACAAAATTACAGCATGTTGTGCATAATTAGTCTCGAAAACTCTTGTTCATGTTAAAAATGGAACTAATTACCACCTACTTGTCACAGTGTAATATATAAATGCAACTTGTAATTTCTTTATGTAAAGAGACAGATGTTGCTTTCAATAATTATTTTTACATGCATATTCAACTTTCGGTGCAAGCAAAGCAATCTCACAAATAGTAATTGTATATGGCTGTAGTTCCGGATTTATTTGTAATAAATATAAGATGCTGATGATCCCGAAAGACATATACAATGTTTTATGTTATCAATGTTATCATGTCTTGCAACATAGATCATTCTACACGTTAGAGGCACCTGTAAGTACATACCGTTCCTAAAAATAGGCTCAACTGACTTTCCAATTCCAAAGCAAATGAAAACTGTAATGTCAACCGACACAATGCGCGTTCTATATAAGTGAGTAAAGACAGAGACAGTCCTCCTTAATGTAATCCTTTGATTAAGTCTTATCAAATTCTACGAGTATTAATAGTTATCACACGGCAGTTTTACAAAGCCCTTGACAAAGCAGTTTAGTCTTGAATTTATGTTTGAAAATACTTGGTTACTGATTGCTATTAACACAATTTTGAAAAAAATGATCTATAAAACCAATTTGACTTGTTTCCATCAATAGTTGTACGATAGTGATCAGTTAGTGAACATATTGCGCCATCTGTGCTAGAAAAAGTCGGAATTGAATTTACTTTATAGGTTTTAACATTATCGAGAAGATTTCTTCGCCACTATTGGTACCCATTGAGACAACATGATTATCCATTGAGTAATGTTTGTGGTAAGATAACATTATAGTAACTAATACACTTTAAAATTGCATCCTTCATCGTGTTCAAAGTAGAAACGACTTTAGTTATATAAAAAGGAAATTTCACCTAGAAAATTCGTGTAAAGTTAAATACCTTATAGAAAAAGTGTGTGGCGTAAAAAGTATTTCCTTCTTTTGTGAAAATCAACGGCCGATGTGGCCATGTCAAAATATTTAATTATATCTCTCTAACAAAAAATCTTAAGGAGACACTTTTATTTCAAGGATAAGCACTTGCCTTAAAAACTTCAATAACTCGTTTAAATATTCAGCACACGCTTCAGTTTTTAGGTCACCTCTTTACTTAGGAGTTAGTAGAATTTTAACTTGAAATAAAAATCCTGATGGTTAAAAAGTCATAGAAAACTTGAATGCATTGCAGTCTCATGTTCCGGTAATAAATTATACATTGATTAAAAGATATAGAGATCAGGAGATCGAGCTGCTGCGCTTAAAGAGCTGTCAGGTGCAGTAGCACTTGAAATCGTTGAATTATTTAACAGAATTCATGTGCAAGCAGTTGTTTAATACGGGATTTATTACTGCAATAATTAACCGATAATTTACCGTACACGAAGACCAGTTAGTTATCTGATTAAAACGCTGTCTGAGAAGCTGTTTTCTTTGGCGAAAGCGGTACGTGTAATATTCATAAAAAAGGTAGGAGCGCCATAGATCATGTGTTTGAAGTAGGACCAGATAGTCACCCGGTGATTAAAATTTTGCAAATAGTCGGGTACACGACACGCTTAACAAACACGAAAGCGCTATAATATGATAGAAACTGTGTATATCAATTTTTAAAAGAAGTATAAAAAAAAAACAAAACAGATTTCTGGAATTATTAATATTCGGTGTATTTACGAAAACTAGAAAGTGAACTTTTTTCAACTTAATGTAGTATGTTTCAATGTAATCCAAGTTCCACATGGTCATTCTAGAAAATAGATCTTTTCTTGATTTTTGGTCACGGCCACACTACAGCAATTATTTGCTTACATCCACCTCCATCACACATAATATATGCGCAGATGTTTGTAGGCTCACAAAGATACGTTTTTTATCCGACTGCCTCGAGAGAGAGAGAGATATGCTTGTTTGTATGTATGTATCCAAAAAATCTACTTACTCACATGATAGATTTTGACATACGAGTTGTTGTTGGACTCATCTTCGCAGTGCAAGCGACACTAGCTACATTAAATTTTAAAAAGACAAAATGATCGATTTTCATGATTAAGTTCAACCTTAAATTTCTTATTTCACGGGCTTAAATACCTTGATGAATTTTGAGATATGAGGTTTCTATAGATTTGTCTTGATAACACAATTAAGTCTTCATTCATTTCATTTACTGCATTCGGGTTGTTTGTATTTTTTTAAAATCTACTTATCTAATTTTGCCTCACCGTCATGAAAATTTTCTCGGCCACGTATGTCTTTCAGGTCACTGTCAGTATGACAACTTGTTTGTCAAAGGCATGTGATTTGGGTTTGTTTACATGAACTGCTTTCCAGTGGATTTTGGTTTGAGAATGATGCTACAGAAACAATGCATGAAAATACAACGTGCAGTGGAACGGTATTTGTGCTGAGCACTACTGAGTTTCTCCGTGTTACTCAGAGTAACTCAACAGGGTCACTGGAAAGCAGCTCTTAGTTGATCTTCGACATAAAACATGAAAATGTCTGAAGATATAGTTGCAAGGTTGATAGACAGTATTAATTTAAATTAAGTGTTTTAAGAATGTGGCATGCATAGAGAGCAATCTCTCTTAGGAAAGTTAAGCTACGAACACAGTACAGTTAGTCAATCAGTTTACTTATTTCGTATGACACTGTGTACAATAACAGCGCCGCCTAGCGGATTCAGATGAGAAATATTTGTGATTGGTACGTGAAATATTAAAAGAATGGGACAATAATGAAAATGACAGGACATTAAGTCAATTTGAGATTAGGAACAATCTGAATTTCAAACTCACAATAATTCTCTTTTGATCTGACAAATAATGAAATAACTGCATCTTTGTCATGGCCCAACTGATCCTACATGACACAGATTTCACCATAGTGACCATACTGATATTCCACTATCTGTCGGACGATGTTTCCCTTTTTGTCCACTGCGTGAGCGACGATAGATTTAGTTACCCCCCTATGCACTTCGCACCCGTCGAATAGAGATTCCAAAGAAAGCTGATGTAAACGTCATTAACAAAGTGTCTCTCAATCTAGATACATATATAACTGGAATAAATAATAATTATTAGTTCACATATGATTTAGTTTCATCAAAAATACATATCTAAAAGCATCCAAGTATTTTATTAAATATTTCTACAAAGAAGCAATAACGCTGATATATAATAGTAGGATAAATCCTCTAGATGATAATATGTCACGCATGGAGTATTCCCCTTGCCATCCGACTGAAAAGGGAATGTAGGGTGAAGTAATCCAGTATATTGCTATCTGACCAGGATTGTCCCCAACGGCAATTTTTATATCTCATAACGACCATCGCAAAGCAATATTATTTTGTTACAAAGAACGAATTCCTTTAATTATTTGTGATTTTGAGCTATCTAAAATATATACCCAAGAATGCTATGTCTTTAAGACAGTTGATACGGTTTTACTCTCCACGCTAAGTAGCGAGGAGGATTTGAATGCATGATTTTTGGAGGTTATAACAAATAACGCAAACATATGTCTCTCAATTACGTCGGCCTGTCTGTGCGCTAATTAATGGCTTTGTTACAACCTGGAAACCACCGATCGGACTTTGTAGTTTAGGAAAATCGATCTAGGGGCGGTCAAGCTACAGGAAAATAGAGCCTTTTGTTGTTTTTTAGGGCAGGATATATGACAACTTTTTGGCGAAAGCATATTTATACGCCTTCAACCCCAGTAATTGTACGCCTCTTAGACATATTCCGTACCTATATTTGCACTTAAACCTTAGAATGATAGATGAATATTTTCAACAGACGCGTCGCAGCAAAGCAACTAAAGTGGACCGATGGATGGTTGACGAGTGATGAGGTTAGTCACAGTAACGTTGGTCGATATTGTCGGTAGGGCTCTGGGTGAGGATTTTGGACTAATTGTATGGACCAATTTGACTGGCTTGATCTATATAATTTTTTGTTTTGCATGCTAACGTGTGCCGAAAATGATTCTTTTGTGAACTGATAACAGCGTTGCGTGGGGAGTGCAGTGACAACTTATTTAATCCATTTTTCATCCTTGATGTTGTACTACTTGAAAATAATTCTCAAGCCCGCATTTCCATCGAAACTTCCTTATAACATCCTTTATAAAAACTAATTTAAGCTCTCCAACTTATAGACGTTTCAGTCTATTCAGAAAATAAGAGATGCGTCAAGCAGGCTGACTCGGTACTTCCCGCGCAATTCCGGACAAATGAACTGTATCATGATATACGAGTATCCTAGTCAACTTTTGTGCCCTCTGGTATCTTTACTGTTTGCCGGCAATGAAAACATTTGTACCCTAGAATAGAACAAATATCAGTGAAAAAAGCATTGTTAATTTGAAAAAACTGAATTTATGGACTTTGAGTACGCATAATATATCTGTATTATATTGTTATCTTTTGTAAATAACCGAGGGCAGCTTTCATCCGCTTTGGTATTATGTACTTGAAGACTGACAAGAAAATTCACCGAGGCATCGTTGACCGTTTCTCAATGTTCAGATAAGCACCTGGCTCACTCTATATACAAAATATAGCTATCATTCTAAGTCTTAAGGGCAAGTATACAATGTAAAATATGTGTGATGTATGCCTAACAATAAATTTCGTCAAAATCCAAGCGGAAATTTCCAAGGATTAGCGGACAGACCAAGAAGCCGACATTGACAGACAGAAAGAACTGGTTTTTCGTGATATAAATGTAATATAACATCCAAAAAACATCGTATCTCATTTTCGAAATTTTTCGCAATTATAATAATTTCTCGCTAATAGGTGTGGGAAGTGAAATGACGGAAACACCATGGTACTCTCAATAACGCAAATTCCGTTTTATGTATTTGTTCAATACAAGCATTCACTCTCACGACAAAGTTCATAGATTCACGAACAAAAAAAAATCGCTAATACGAGCCTGTATATCTTCTCTCCCTTTGGCTACCATCTGAAGAGGGGTGAATGGACGATTTATATACACATTTTTCACAGGATTAGCAGCAGGGTTAATACCAGGTATACAAGGCAAGAAAATATTTTGAGCATGTTTCTGAAACAGGTAGTCCCACATTCCACCACACATATTATTTTTACAGTAAAAAGCATTTCTATTGAAATAGTTCACAAAACACGCGGAACATGAAACTTTACTCATGTTACAGGCATAGCATGAAAATGCTGAACAAATTCTTTTTCATGTACCAGCTTTTAGTAGATTTAAGCGATCCAATTCTAGCTTAACTAACTTTCAGATAAGAATATTCAGAGCGTCTACATTTTGAATGTTAACAGCACATTTCGGGTGAGTGACTCATTTATTTGAGTAAACTATTTTTTAGCTCACTTGATCTATAGCTACTCGAATCTCCCACATAGAGTAAAGCGATCATCACACTTTTTGATTTACCTGCTAATTATATGGAGTGTTATAACATTAAAAAAATCATACATAGTCTATTTCAATATGAGAACGACAGATAGAGATCAGATTATATCAAGTTTTGCAGCAACCAGGCGTAGAATTCCTTTATTGAAAATATTATTTTACATCATAATTTTTATAGTTGCGTGCTTACTAATTTTCTACATAATATGAGAGATAATTATACCTGCTTAGTTTTTAGGTTTTATAGGTAGGTTCACAAATACCTACGATTAGTAAGGGACAATGAAAGTGGCAGTACCCTGAGAATACTTGCCGGAAAATATCTAGGGGTTGGTTTTGACAAAAATGGATAACAATTTCAGTCATTTATCTGGGTATTTAGCAAGTGCCTACCCTAATAATGATTTAGGTAGGTAGATATAGATACCTGTGACTTCAATATGGATTTGTAGTTGTCTTAAGAGCGTTCAAATTGTGGCAGTTAGTAATGCTGTTACAGTAAATTTTGAAATGACAAGCACCTCAGCTTTTTCTCCGACTATGAGAATAAACAAATTCGTAAATGTAAAAGTTATTGTTCTCAATGTATTTGACGCACTCGGATATGACTGCCCTAATAGAAGTATTGACGATACTATGGATAAATGTTCAAATATGAGAGGGATTGGAAAATCTGCCATATTTAGGACGCTATGTGAAAGAAAATGCCGTGTTGAAGTAAAATCACTACAACCACCACCCGCAAGAACAAAGAAAACTACAAACGAAGGTACGAAACCGGCAATCTGAAGAAAAGTGCACACATTCTATTTCAGCAACGATATACCTTCACTAGAGAAGCTCTTAGTGTATATTAAAATTGGAGAAGATTTAAAAACTATCAGTAGACAAAAATGTTGAGGAAGAAATGATTTTTTCTTGGGAGAAGCAAAATAGAAAATCCATAGATAGAAAGTGATAATATTGTTTGTTGGAGGAGAAACTATCTAAGAAGCATTCGACAATATCGCATGTCTAAAACAATCAAGTGGTAAGAACAAAGTCGGTTTCCTAGAACAAGGTCTATTAACATTCAAATCTAATCACAGCCGCGACTATCATCAAGACAGGACTGCGGATGTTTTTGAAGAATATTTCGAACAAAAGGTAAAGTTCATTCCGCCAGGGTCAGTCGTAGTAATAGACAACGCCAGTTACCACTCCAGAAGAATAGAACACATACGTACAACATCTTGGATTGGAAGATGATATTTTACAAGTGTTTGTTGGATAAACATATAGGAATTGAACATAATGTGCGGGAAAAAAAGAGATACTGGCTAAAGTGAACACCCACAAACATAAATTTATAAAGTACGTCATTGAAGATACTTCGTTTACCGCCGTATATGCCATATTTGAGACTACATGTTAATTTTTAAGTAATTTGAAAATTTCATATATTTCTTTGAATTTCATTCTTACTGCTAATGACACGGCTGTACTTAAACATTTTGGAGTCAAATATCTTTTGTGGATGTCACCGTATGTTCATCAATGATGTAACAGAACTCAATGAAGCAATAAATTGTATTATATAAAAGTCAAATTTATTGAGTCAGTGTTTCCCACACATTAATAGGTGTAAATGTATTTTATATATAGACATTTTGAAACTGAGTTGTTATCACGCTAAGATATGAATTTGAGAAACGTTAAAAAACATATCTTCTACGTTAACATCATACTTGTCTACTTTAAAAAATTTCGTGCGTCTTGAAGAACATTAAGAAACAAGGACTGTTCCTTTTTTTGTGTTTCGACCATTTACTCTGCCGCCATTGAATCAATTTTAGATGACAGGCCGGCAAAATTGAGTAACATCAATTTATGTTGAGTACATTCCACATAAAACCTGAATCCCGAGTTCGAAAATTTTCCATAGTGAGGAATGGTTATGAAAAGTGGTTAGCTGTGTTAAATGTTTACAAATTATTTCAAAACTATCCTTTCTATGTCTATTAAACACAAAATAGAAACGAAAACCACTGAAACCA